CTCATTAATATTTCTTAATTCTAGGAATGAGATCTGGAGACGGGGGTGCGGATATGCTCGTCTTTTTTATGGGTTGCGTAGTGGTTATCCAATGCAAAAACCACGCAAGAAACATCGGTAAGATTTATTTACAACATGAAAAAATTTTTAACAAAAACTATGTATATACAAAATACTGATAAATTATGAATTCTAAATATCATTATTATTAATAAGGTCGGAGTCCAGTACAGGCATTAGGTGGGCTTTCTAGACGATCTAAACATCACCGTTGCATTGCGGGTATTGCTGTGGTCTCCAGAAATGATAAAAATTTGATAGAAGCGCAAGGGAGGAAGCGGATACATGCCCTAATCCAATACGAAAGTACGATAGTTGAGGATTTTAAAGGATTAGTGTCTAGGGCTTGGATTATGAAGGAGAGTACTGTTGCGCTTGTTGAAGTTCGTAAGCCTCAACAGCAAAGAATGGAAGCTGTTGAGCCTCAACTACATGTGCTTTGTTTTTTCGTTTTAGGTTGTCTTTGTTGTATGTTGTATATTATTTTTTTATTGCATCAAAAATAAAAAATTTTAATATTAATATGCATAAGCGTGTAAATTCTGCAAATGCTTATAAGACGTTTTGTAAACGATTACTACAGCTAACCGAGCACTTAAACGCATTAATCTAGACGCGCGTAAGCGTGTGGCTTCTGCAAACACTTATTAGGCGATTCATCCAAGCGTTTCAATTACTTTGATAATATTTCTGACTGATAATGTATATGATTCCTGTAAAAGTAGTCTCACAGTCTAAGCATTCAAGTGTTAATTGATTTCTTATGAACAAAAGAACAATGGCCGTGTAAACAGTCTACATGTCTCGTCCATGGTATTTTCATTAATTAAATACAACACGTGACAAAACTAACTAGTCAAAGAAGCTTTTAAACATACAAATACCAAAAGTCACTCTCAAAGTACATTCTGTTGTGATTAATGTCTTTTAAGTCAACAGTCATATGTTACCACATATATAATCGTCAATTACAGTACTTTTTATGAATTTGTAAAGATTTACACTAAGGAGCTCAAAGGCAATACAGAGATGGTTTCCGGTCAGCCATGTGATATGTGAATTATGTTATGGTTATCGTCTGGATCCTGGACATACAGAATTCATGGTATATAGAATGAATGTTAGCAGCTGTAACCTTTGCATTAGTCACGTAATTTTAAAAAAAAAAACAGGTCTAGACCCATAGACCTACCCATCGAGCATATCTTGACCTTCACCAAGGCCTGACAATGGAACCTCTTCTTGTTTCTGATAATCTTTACTGCGACATGTTCGCCAGTCTTATGATCAAGACATTAACACTTGACCAAAAGAGCCTTTACCGAGACTATCTACTATTTCATAACTGTAATACAAATGATCTCCCATAACCACCAAATAGTCACCCGCTCATCATCGAAGTCATAGTTACAGCCAGTCAGCTCTGTGCTTGCAGGTTTCTTGATTGCATTGGGAGCAGTGAAATATACGTTTAGATATTCGACTGTTTCTGTACGGTCATATTGAGATAGATATGGACAGAGTGTCTTTAATGCTGTCTGCAGTTGTACCTTTTTGCATGAGATACCTCTTCTCCCGCAGCTTGGGCTTTGCATCTGAACACAATGGATCTGATAGATTTTGATTCAAATTCTGTCAACTGCGGCTGCCCTCTTTGAATTTAGAGTATCCAATCATCTCCTAGACATCAAATGTAAGACATAATACAAATCACATGAAATCACGGGCGTGCATTTAGAGATGGTGAGATACATTGGTGGGAAATGGAAAAAACCGTGTAATGCATTTATGGAGGGTGTGTAATTCCCGAGCTTGGGAATAAAGTAAGACGTGCATTTATAGAGGGTGTGCATTTAGAGAGGGTTGACTGTAGTACACTATGATATCAGAGACATAACTGTAACAAAACGCTTTCGCGCCAAAAAGTTTGTTTGCAGCAATGAGTAGATTACGCCTTATGTAAGAATATATATATCTCTCTCCTCATTAGTTACAATAAACAGGATACTTTCTACGGTAACTTTTTATAGTCAAGTCTATTATACACTGTGTTTCGAAAAAAATTGCGCCAGTAGAACAAAAGAATTTTCTAGAATAAATCAAAAAGTTGATTATTGA